CCAGCACCCATAACCTACAGAATGTGTTACCAAACCTGGCACATAATACACTCATAAACACGGAAGCCAGCATTGACGGAATTACAACGAGGGGGTGGATGCATTTGGGACCGAAGAAACGCAATGCGACAAGGTAGGCGGTCTGTAAGACCATCGTAGGCAGCAGGTGGCAGCGGCTCCGAGGTATACCGCGATGCACACGCCGCAAAGGTGCAAGGCTGCATGCGTGCCTCAACGGGCGCGTGCTTGCGTTTTTTACAGCCGTTCTGGTAAGAGGCGGGCGCACGCGCGCCTGTTCTCAGAATGGTTCACCATTCCGCCGCGCACCCAAATACACATCCAGGCTCACAAGCTGGGCGCGCAGCTAAGATGCTAGGCGGCGGCGCAGCAGGATAAGTGACGCCCCGCCACGGAAAGCGCGCACCGCTAACTAAGTGGACCATCCGATCGCGCGCTTGGTCGGGAGAAGCGCTCGCTGCGGGGTGCGACAGCAAGCGCGCGCCGTAAAGATAACGCTCGCGCTGCGGGCATGGCCCTGCAAACCCGAACGCTGCGGCGGGCAAGTGGCGCGCGCGCTATTCAACGACGCTCGAACAATTCGGCGCACCCGACTAAACCGCCCGCGCGCCCCACGCCCCTTTGAATGATGAGCGTAGCGCAGCCTATCTCCGAGCTGCCTTCACACCGCAGAAGGAGACGAGCGGCGCAGCTTGCATCGGATGCCGCGCGCGCGCTCGATCGGGCGCGCGCATGATCCACGCGCGCGGAAGCGCGCCAAACAACGACAACGCGAGCGCGAGCGCGTAAACCCGCGCGCGCTTTCAATGGAGTCCACGCCACCAAAGGCAACGGTGGCCAACCGATGCCAGCGTGCTTCGCCAGCTGACATGGCCAAGGGCGCTGCATCGCGCGAGCGCCTGGCTGGCGACGGCCGCATCACAGGCGCGATCGTTGATGCATGACGCCTATGTGTCAAAAGAAGACTGGGCATTTGCAAAGACCCCCTCCCTTCAACGCGCCGCCGCCGATGCCGCGCGCGCATCGGGTCGCCCCGCGCGCGCCCATCACCCGCTCGCCCATCGACCATCACCGTTCCCCCCCACACGCACACACACATACACACACACACGCCACAAGCACACGCGCGCGCAGCACGTGGACGCACGGGCGCCACCGCACACGCGTGCCCCATCCATTCCCAGCCGCGCGCGCGCGCCCCCACCACCATCGCAACGCGCGCCACGCCCACTTTGCAACGGCTAGAAAATTGCAACCGCGACGCTCCAATCTGCAAGCGACGGTCGAACCGACGGTCGGCAAGCGGACCAGCTTGGCCCACCCAACGCCAAGCAAGCGAAGCTGACTCGGTCGGTCGACTTGCAGGAACTCGACCGACGACGCTCGGTCAACTTGAATATCCGTAGCCGCAAGAGTAGAACGTCAACATGCCACGTCAACTTGTCGAGTCGACTTGCGACGTCGACATGCAACGCCGAATCGAATTGTCAAGTCGACTTGTCGAGTCGACGTGCGTATACGGGCCGCCCAAATCAACCCGCGAGATCGACATGCAAAGTCGACATGCAAAGTCGACTCGCGCTGGCGAGCCGATTTGCAAAGTCAACATGGAAAATAGAATTGCCTTGTGAAGTCGGCTCGGCTTGTGAAGTCGACTCGGCTTGTGAAGTCGACTCGACTTGTGGGGCAGAAAATCTACACAGGTCAAGTTGCACTTGCCAGGGCGGCGAAACGGTAAGTCGACTTGCACTCGCGAAGTCAAGTTGCGGGCGCCAACGCAGGCATTGGCGAGCGAAATGGTTGCACCGCGAAGCAAATCCAAGTCCCGTTGTGCTGCCAAGCTGCCGCTGAACCAGTCGGCCTGCCAAATGACAGGGCCGTCGGGCCATCGCCCATGGGGCGCCGCGCTCGCGCGCTCGGGGTGGCGCACCGAGCCTTGAGACTGCTCCGACGCCGCCGCTTGGCAGTGGCGGTCGGTGAAGCGCATTGCGCTTCGAGGAATCCGCGCAATGCCTGCGAGCTGCGCGCCCTGATATGACGTCGCAAGCCGAGAGGCCGCCGCAGCGCACAGGGCGGCAGAGGCCCGCGCAGAACCGCGCGCCCCGAGCGCACAAACTAACTCGCGACGCCAAACGCGACTTAGCTGCTGCGCAATTCGCCCTTGATGGCGCCTTCTGCGACTGGCCTCTACCGTGCAGTGCCAGGCGGGCGGGGGCGTGGCGTGATAGTTGGCAACGGCTTTATTTTAACAACAGCGCGCGGCTGGTTGTTCCGCCAGCCGCGAGATTTGACGCCGCCGCGACATACCCCCGAGCCATGGGCGATGCGGCGCGGCGCAATCGGCTGCGGCCTCGCCGCGCAAGTGGCCAGGCGCGCCCACGCCGACTCGGTCAAAGTGCCTGGCGGCGCGGTCGCAACTATGAGCTGCATCGCGCGCTCAGACATTCAACGCGGAACTGTCGCGTTCGAGCACGTCGCGCTGCCCCTGGTTGGAGCGCTGGCCGCGGGCCCCACGCAGCGGCGGTTAGGCTGCCGCGGTGACCCAGACTTGCGCCCCTTCGGCTGGCATCGCGTTCCATCGAGCTCAACCATGGCGTGGGCCCGCGAGAACGCTTCGTGAGCGTGAGTCCAGCACGCGCTTCGGGTGAAGCCGCTACGGTGTCTTTGCGCGCAGCCTAGCCATTGGCCGCTGGCAGTGGGCTTTGCTGCACATCGTAAGTGGCGTTCTCGCCGCGTGGGTTCGGAATCGCCGAAAGGCGTCTTTGCATGGGAATGGCGAGGTCCGCGAAGTCGACGATCTCATCCTGGCGGGCGGGGCGGCGCGTGCGCAGAGGGAGGCACTGGCGAGAAAGAGATTGCACTGGCGCGCGACGGACAGAACGCAACTTTAGGTGATGGCTGCGCTGGGGTGGGACGAGTGGGACACCTGTGTAGGTTCGCAACGCGAAAACCGACTCGGTCGCAGCGGCGAGCTGCGACCGAACCATACACCCCCCCCCAGGGCAACATCCATCGTGGGAGTGTCAGATTGGGCTGTTGTTCGGCTTGGGCGTGCTGCATGTTTTAAGACGTGGCGCGGCACAATTGACGCCCGTTTGGTGCCCCCTCTCCCCGCCCCCAGAGCGCCCCACTGATGCCCTTTTCCGAGTGTCCTAGGTGATGCGCGTGGCGGCCTATACAAAGATAGGTTTAAGCGGCTGCCGCGGTTCCCGTCTTGGAGCCAGCTGCGGGCGTTCCTGAAGCCCTGGTTGGGCCTCGTTCGCGCAGCTTGGGGGCGGCGTTGCGCCCCCCCCCCCCCCCGCCCAGAACCAGCTGGGGGTTTTCATCGTGATAAAGCTGCTCGTGACACGCGTGGCTTTGCATCGGATCGTGTGTGCTCGAATGGTTCGCGACGCGGTTTGCATGATTATGTCGGGTGCAACCCGAAATCTCAAAACCCATGCTACGCAAGTTATAAGTGGTTTCCGTGTTTATGTTGGCGCTGACACATGACATGATTACTCAAGCGCGCCCATACATGCACGCATGTGTGTACATGACCGTACTGGCGAGCTACATTTATCATGGTACGCATTTGCACGCACGTGATTCATGATATGTGCGTTGGGCTGTCCTGGCCACTCTGACACGGGCCATCCTAACATTGCTTCCATACCCTCGTCTGCGAGGGCTGGAGGTGGTGGGCGCACTGCGCGCGGACGCATTGCCTGCTGGCGGAGATAGGCCACCCAACCTAACTGGCCCAAGGGAAAGGAACTTGTCCTGGCCCAAGGGGAGTGTATATGTCCTGGGCCTACACGACACGGGCGGTCGAAGGACCTGCACAGGGTGGCGCGGCGCTGAGGCGATTCGGACTCGACGGGGGCGCCAAGGGACGATGACCGCCGCTGGCGGAGAGCGCGCTGAGGTTGCCCTGGGGCCCCTACGGCGAGCGGAAACGCGCGTGGAAGAAAGACCGACGGGGGGAGGGAGAAGGAGGAGGAGAAGGAGGAGGAGGACGAAGAGGAGGAGGGGGGATGGAAGGATGGGGGATGGAGGAGGGGAGGGAGGAGGGGGGGAATTGGAGGAGGGGAGGGGTGGGGGGACCTAGTTCGGAGTCACCATGCAAGGATGCCATGGTGACGGCGCTGGGCCCCCGCGCGCCCCCGAACACGTGCAAGACTTGTAGGGCCTTTTATGTGGATGACGTGGTCCAGAAGCACATTCGGAATGCTTGGGTCGAACAGCCACATCTCCTTCCTTTGGCCCGCCCCATCTCCCGAGGGAGCGGATCGCCCTCTCGAGTAGATGAGGGGGCGGGGGGTGGGAGGGGAGGTGGGCGTTCCCATCCCGAAGGTTCTCTGGAAACCCAACGGCTTGAAAATCACGGGGCGCTTCGGGAGGGCAGGGCCGAGCGCGCGGGGTGGGTGAGGCAGAGTACTCTGCGACAAAATGGACTTTGCAAGAGGCAGAGATTTGGCCCGAGTGGCCCCAGGATGATAAGAACTGCCTCCCGCTGGCGGGCGGGAACGGGGGGTGGCGGGGAGGGGGGGGATTGCAAACGTTCGGCGCGACGAGTGGGGGGATGAATCCGATGTGGGGGAAAAGTTGCGAGGGCGACTGCGACGGCGAGAGATGACGGCAGGTCGAGGGCAGTGGAGCGGGGGATAGTATGTGCACCGCCCCAGCGGCTGGGCCTGGCTCCGAGAAAACACCAAAGTGAGCTCGAGTGTCAGGGATGGCGTGGCCACGCACCCTCCTCCTCCTCATCGAGTTCCTTCCCCCTGGCGTGATGCTGGTCGACCGCCTTCTCCACCTCCCACCCTTCCTCGGCCTCCCACCTTTCCCCGTCATGGAATCATGGGTGTTGTCATCATCCTCCCCCTCGATCCGTGGCCATTGTTGATCCTTCAATCGACGCGAGCTCGCATCGAACAGTTCTGTTGTCTCAAGCGCCCTCCAGCTGGAGGGCGCAATCACATAGCAAGCGCTAGCGGAGCAAGTCAAGCTCCGCCAATCTCCTCGTCGCTGGACGGCGGAGGAGCACGAGCGCACCACCTGCGCTTGCCCCTGTTCATGTGCCTCTTCGCCAGCTTGGCCCGCTGCTCGGATGTCGCACCAGGCGGGGGCGCAGGGACCTCGAATAACCACTGCTTGAGCACGCCGTCATCTGGGGCGCGGGACGCGGTCATCGTGAGCTTGCACTTCGTGTGGATGGAGCAAGTCACGTACGCGGACCCCACGGGGCTGCCGCGCTGGATGCGACCAATGCAACGCCCGCGCCTGTAACAATACCCATCTGCTGACGGCCCGTCGACTTCCTCCCATGGCTGAACCTCGGGAGCTGCATCATCGCCACCTGCAGGAGCAATCGGCGCGGCTGGGTCTTCAACCAAGCCGATGGCATCTGCCCCTTCTCGGAGTGACTCCTCCAAGTGCTTCTGGAAGTCGAGGTCCACCTCAAGCTCGGCTGCGTCGGCATCGGCCTTCTGGTCGGGAATGGCATGCGCTGCCTCGAGCTCGCCATCAGAAGAAAGTTCCTCCTCGCTACCACGCATGTCGATGTCACTGGGGTCACGCCTGTCGCCACCGTCCGCGTCCTCTGGCGCCGGCTCGGCGTCGGCGATGGCTGCGACGCTCGCGCCAGCAGCTCTGCCTCTGCCAGAACGACCAGCTCGACCTCTCGCAGCACCCCGCCCTCTGCCACCGTGCTGGCCTCTGCCGTGCTTGTGCACGGCATCCTTGCCCTTCTCATCGAACGGGTCCCCGCGCAACATCTTCGACATCAGCGACGTGCCGCGCTCGTAGTCGGTCTTGCTAGACTTAGTGCCGAATGTCAAGGGTGACTTCACGCCGTCCGCCCAAAGGTCGCCGAGCAACTCGCACTGGGTGATGCGAGACCACTCGAGCGAACCCGTCGGAGTGATCACGACGTAGGTCAGCCGATGCAGCTTCAGCGCCTTCATCTCGGCCAAGCACTTTGCGATCCACTCGTCTGACGTGCGCGTGGACACAGTCGGGGTCCCCAGCGGCGGCTCTCTCCACCCCATCTTGCATGCCCTGGTCGAGATGACGGCGTCGCAAGGCAACTCCAGGACCTGAGAGGCCCAGTCAGCGCACGGCGAGACAACCTACGTGGCGTTCTGTATGCTGGCGGCAAGCCCGAAACGGCACAACGCCCCTAGACTAGAAACCCTCTGTCGGTTGGGGTCTCTCTCTCTCTCTCTCTCTCTCTCTCTCTCTCTCTCTCTCTCTCTCTCTATCTCTCCCCCTCTGTTCGTCTATACACCCTCCCTCCTTGTCTGTAGTCAGTTCCCTCCCTCCTCACCGATCTCCCTCTATCTCTCTCTGCACCCCTTCTCTAACCCCCATGGTTTTGCCGTGTTGCACTGCCTCCGAAAGTATGCGTTTGTAACTTCTCCCGAAGCCTCTATCCCTGGATGCGTGTACCCCGACCCCTGGGTGCCCCCAGTTCGCTTTCTGCCCTGGATTCGTTGTCGCGCTGTCCCTACGCGCATGCAAGCCTTATGCGCCAGGCCACATCTCCGATAGACCTGGCTAAAGGTGCACACGCGCGCCCGCAAGGGCTGCGATGGGACGCAAGCCGACATGCGCTAGTCTAGGGGCGAGGTCTCCTCATGGGCCCCTCGACCCCCGCAGACACATACCCCTACCCCTGCCCGCGAAGGGCTGAGCCCTCCTGGGGCCCTTCCTACATTAGACACCCGTGGGATGGAAACGCGTTCGAGCCCCCTCTTCCTGACCCCACCTGAAGACCCCCCTCCGACCCCAGGATGCTGGCACCGACGGGGGGGCAGGGGGGGGGGGGGCTGGCCAGGACAGCCAGGGCCAGGGAACGCAGGACCGAGAAAACGACTGGGCTAAACCACGAGATACATAACGCCACTAAGTATATGTCTCAACGTCCGTTGACTGTCCCTCCCTCCGAGGAGCCTCGGCCGAGTGCAAGTCGGCCCGATCGAACTCCACCTCGGTGACGTCGAAGACGTGGGGGTTGTAGGTCGCGCCAGTAACCAGCGCGAGCCGCCTGCAGTGCGAACCTGCGACATGGACCGACGGGCCGTCGACCATTATCATGAGGTCACCCTCGTCCGCGACGGCTTTCCCGACGCTGACAATGAAGTTGAAGATGCCGCGCTCGATGAGGTCGAACCCCCGCGGACTCCTCGAAACAGCTCCGTTCGAATTACGGGCCCGCCGCAACAGGCCCCATAGGTCCAACTCCGTGCTGCCTTCCTCGTCAAACGTGCTATCTCTCGGAACTGCCACTTCAAGTTCATCTGCATCGTACACGTCAACATCGGTGGGCCACACGTGAGAATTGATATACGAAGAAAGCTCGTGCGGCGCGATGGGAGAACTGCTGCAACCCCCACCCCACGTCGGCAAGTACTCCTTCACTGCATCAATCTCTGCACTCGTTCTGGGAGAATCCCTCCATATCAAGCACGCTTCCTTAAAGACGTCATGCTCACACAACGGTAGTTCATTCCACAGTTTGCGAAACAAGCGATGCTGATGTTTAACTTCGTCATCTGTCAAAGGCCTCCCCATGCAGACGTCTGGCAGCCTGCATCCACCGATTGCGCTCGAGCAGAAAACCGCTCGCGCCAGCGCGCCCCCCCTCCTCCTGCGGCGACTGGAAAGACGTGATATCGAAATCCAGCGCCCCCCTCGTCGCCACCACGCCGTCAGCAGTGAAGTTGTCGCCGCTCCACTCTACGATCGCATCCGCGTCGACGTCGCCGCCAGGATCCAGAACGGGAAGCACATCACCGCCTGCGTCGCTATGGACGCCTGCGATATAACTCGCAAGCAGCGGGTTGTAGCGCACAGTCTCTTGCTTCGACGCCTGCTGCCCGCACCTGGCCTTCAGGGGATGTGACCCGCCGCGATGCTGATGAACCGCGGCCGCCTGCTGCAGGAAGTCCTCCTTGCACGCGTACGACATGTTCTTCCCGCTGGTCGATTTGGTGTTCTTATGCGTCATCTGCTTGTTGAGCCTCTCGATGAAGTCGATGCCATACGGGTGGCTGCGGAAGTCGGCCAGGAGCGTGGAGTAGCAGTCGAAGGACAGCAAGCGTTGCACTGTGGGGTACAAGCGGCGGATGCCGCGACTGTAGACGTCCAGCACGTCGGCGTCAGCATCGAGCAACTCCTGGGCCAAACTCGTCCTCTGCTCCTCCGTGTAGTCATCTGCCGAAATCAGCGCATACAGCTTGTATGGCCACGATGAAAGGCGTAGTTCGTACCTCCTGTACAGCGCAGAAGAGAGCCGAATAATCTGAGATCGAGTCCAGCGCTGGAACGCCTCTGACTCCATTGGCGCTCCAATGGCTTCCAACACAGTCCAAGGATGGTCGCTAGTGTCCTCTCGATTCGTCCACGACTTCAAAAGGCCGAGCAATACTGCGAAGCACTCCTCGACCTTCCCATTGCGCGGATCGAGCAACACATCCATCTTGCTGGGAATCGACTCGCCATCTGGAATGGGGTCCCTGAGCAATGGGTAAAGTAAACAACCGTCCGAACAAGGATTGCGACATAGACCCCAAGCTGCCAAAAGTTCTCGTCACACTGGTAATACTCCTTGATCTTTTTATTCCTAAGCCTGTTGACCATGGCATGGAACTCGCCCCTACTCTCACCATCGAGCTTCACGTGATCGCCCGCGTCGCCGTCGCCTGCCTCGCACTCCAAGTCCAAGCAGAAGCTATCAACGCCAACGCGGTAAATTTGACGACGGACGAGCGACTGCTTGAAGTTCGCCAGGGTGTTCGCCCACCTGGACTCCGCTGGCACCTTGTCCTGGTTCCCCCACGTGGCGTTGCACACCGCGATGGTGACCTTCTCCTTGCACTCTGCTTCGCTCCTGCAGCATGGCAGCCCCGTGCCGGCGTCGTGGCACCAGTGAACCCACTCCTTGTCGCGCCAGCTGCCGTTCACCAAGCTGCAAAGTTCACGGAGATCGTGCCACTGTTGCGAATGGCCACCGTTTTTTCGCTCATGATGCTTGGCAATGAAATCAAAGAACGTGTTGATCACATTGAAAAACGTGTCGTCGCCAGCTGGCGAAGGGCCGACCTTTCGTTTGCACCGTTTCCTCGCCAAAACCTCAACTGCCCGTGTGACTCTCGTCATTGTCTTCTGAAGCTTCTGGATCTGAGCGATACCGCAATGGCGCATGACATGAGATCGAATCCCTTTCACCTGGAGCTTGGCCCTGTGATGCAAATGTATCCCGCGTACTTCGGGCCAGTACAAGATCTTCGGATACCTGGGCAACGACAGCGTTTCAGACTCATGCAACTGGCCCCAGTGCTTCATGATCGCAACGTTGGAACCTGCTTTGTCCGCAACGGGCATAAACGTGAAGGATTTGACATGATCGCTGATGGTATTCATCTGCTCGCCGTCGTCAAACCGAAACTGTTTAGGCACTCCTCGCCGCGCTCCTGGATACAAGCACTGAGCAGATGCCCCCCGCCAAGGCCGACGACTTGACGAGCGCGTACTCTCTGTGACCTGATGCCAAGCTCGCCTGACGATTGTACAACAACCACGTGACGCAGCCCCGTTGCACCAAGGTTGGTCGAGTCGTGGTCCGTCGAGCTCGGAAGGCCTTCGACGGCTCCCACCTGAACTTAGTGGCAACCTCGTCCCACATGTGCGCATACGTGACGTGAACACCGCGGGGAGATGGCTGATGGGCGCCGTCCTGTCGACGACCAGTGGCAGAACGAGCGCTCTTCAGCATCGCGCCGATCGCGAACTCCTGCCTGGCCTCTATCACACGAGCGCACGCAAGCACAAGCCTGGTGTGCTTCACTCCGAGGGCGAGCTTGGCTGTCTTCGGAAGGTGGGCTGCACGACACGCAATCGACACATCGCATGGCTCCAGCGGCTTACGTCTCCTCCCAATCGCATGAGCCTTCGACCGTGGAATCAACTTGCTCGCATCTGGAAGCAAGGTGGTGATCGCCTGAATCGAATCTCTGTGAGAGCGCCGTGCGTCGACCAGGTCGCTCCTGAGCTTTGCCATCCGTTTCTTGGCCAACGCCTCTCTCATATGCTGCATGTGCTCTCTGGACCATCTTCTGAATTTGACCACCCGTGGAACTGCGAGCTCTGAAGGGTAACTGCTGAGATCCACAGCGGCGGGCGCCTCAGCGATTGGTGCCTCTGGAGCCTGACCAACTATCACGACTGGTGCCTCTGGAGCCTCGCCCTCGTTCACTGCAGCTGGTGCCTCTGGAGCCTCGCCCGCCACGGCAGCGGCCTCTGGGGCCTCGCCCGCCGCGGCGCCACCGCCACGGTCATCGACCTGCAGTCAGCCGCGATCCAGGATCGCATGGATATCCATTCGCCAAAATGGCGTGGGCCATCTGGAGCCAAAATGGCTATGAATAGCAGCTGTCATGTTAGGCGGCGTTCGTGCTGTCATGAGCTGTTGCGATGTTTCTGATCAGGGTATCTTCACGGGGCTCGGATTCTGAAGGCGCCACGGTGCCAGATGAATGACCGATGGGCCTGCGTGTGCTTCTGAGCTTTGTTCGCCATCATTGTCCCTCTCCTACCTTCTGTCTCCTCCATGCCCAACGAGGCCCCAAGAAGTCCCATAGTGATTCCCAGAAGTAGTACACATGGTACCCCAACTGCCTCCGAATGACATCCCAAGAGACCCCGTCGAATCCCCAAGAGGCCTCTGACCCATCGCCTAGGCACGGTGGCAGGATGGGCCTATGGCCACTAAGTAACGGCGGGGGTAGTGGGTGAGCAACGGCACAGAAGACTACGAACATGCAAATGACGATGGTGAGGACACGAGCCCCTCATGCGAGTACGACGGGACGGATTGCTATGACATGGGGGGACATGGGAGTAGTAGTCGTGTTGATAGGCCCTTCTGTTTAGCGAAGCACCCAAGCGACTGCCAGCAAACGTGCGCTAAGCTATTATTAACTAGTGTTGAGGGGGGGGGAGGAGGTTTGATGTTCCAGCCTCCCCTCCCCCTCCTGTTCCCCGACCCTCTCCTTCAGCTCATACATAATCGGAGCGATCCTCCCATCATGATTCCCCCTATCCAACATCATTGGTACAAGGGCCTTGCGCTGGGAAGTGGGACCTCTGATCTGCTGGGGAAGTCTCGTCGCGCGTGTTCACTGACATGCGTGCCGAACTATAGGTAATGTAAGAAGTGGACGTAGCGCGTTCCCACGCCACTTGGAACTTGGCCTAACAACTTGACGTGGCCCTTCGTCGACCACGAGAGCACAACTGAACGCCTTCTAAAGTCGGGCTCGATCTCTGACCCCCAGCCACACTGAAATCAACATCCTCCTCCTCCTCCTCCTCCTCCTCCGCCTCCTCCTCCTGCTCCTCCTGCTCCTCCTGCTCCTCCTGTTCCTCCTGCTCCTCCTCCTTCCTCTCCCTTGTCTTCCTGCGTATCCTTCCGCCCCCACTAACTGTAACCGTTCGTTTTTATTTCCCCCTTTTCCGACTTCTGCCTCGGTCCGACCGCACGCGACGGGCGTGCCGAGCTGGGGCCCTCTCTGCGCGGTCGCTCGAGGGCCAGCCGCCGAGCGCCCGGGCACGCCGTGCGCGACGGGCGCACCACATGTTGGCACATGGCAGGTCCCGGGAGGCAAGCATCGAGCCTCTGCCCCAGGGCCACGGGAGCCGTTGACCTGCGCAGGACGGGCAAATGTCCTCTGTGAGGCGCCAGCGGCGACAAGCGGCTGGCGAGAGCGCGTCGGCGCCGCCTGGCGCACAGCGTCTGGGCGCTGAGAGCGCCTGACGTCTTGCAGAATCCCAACCTGCGGCAGGAACCCAAAGGCCAATGTGGCTGGGGACAGCAGCCCTCCTCGTGGTTCCGGGCAGGCAGTGCGGTCCGGCGGAAGGGGGCGAAGAGGGGAGAAGCAGGCAGACGACGACGAACGCCCAGGCGGGAGGCCAGGGCCGGCGGGGCGGGCGGGCAGGCAGAAAACGGGCCAGGCGGAAACAGCAGGCAGGAAGCAGGAGGAAAGGAAAGGGAGGGAAGCAACGAGCAGAAGCGGAGGGAAAGCAGGGGGAGGAAGAGGAGGAGGAGGAGGAGGAGGAGGAGGAGGAGGAGGAGGAGGAGGAGGAGGAGGAGGAGGAGCAGCAGCGGCAGCAGCAGCAGCAGCAGCAGCAGCCGCAGCAACAGCAGCAGCAGCAGCAGCAGCAGCAGCAGGGCCGGGACAGGGGCCAGGAGGGAAAGGCCACCCGCGACGAACCTACGGACACTACGGCGGCGACAGGGGGGCCGGTGTGGGCGTCGGCGTCGGGAAGGGCGTCGGGAAGGGCGTCGGGGGGGGCCTGGCCGAACCCAGCACGCTGCGGCTTGGCGGGGAGGGAACCTCTGCGGTATCACCCACCGCCCCGCCGAGGAAGGGACGGCCGGCAGTGCGGGGGGGCGCGGGCACGCCATCCGCGAGAAGGGGCACTGGGGAGGCGCCCGTGCTGCCCAGCGAAGGCGGGGGGAGTGGGCAGGGGGCGTTAGGCAGCGCCTGGCGGCGCTCACACGGCGTGCACCGTGGAGGCCGCCGTGGCCGCGGCCAGGCGGGCCACGACCACTCCCGCCCCCAAGACTGTGTTTGGAGGCGCCGCAACACCGCCCGCGCGTTCTCCCTGCGCAGGGAGACGGAGAGTCGCTGGGCGTGTTGGTCCGCTACCAAAGCAGCGTCTTCCCCCGTGGCGTCAGCCACCCGCTTGGCCAGGACCCCGAAGGCCCTGCGCGCCTCGCGGCCCCGCCGCCATGGGCCTCCACCGCCATGGGGGTGAAGGTGAAGCCCTGCTCCACGCACAGCCGCGCGGTGTCCTGGTGCTGCCCAGGCGGCCGCCGTGCCGTTGCGCCACCTCGGTAGGTAGACGTCGGCGGGGCGGCGGCCGTTGTCGTCCACCTGGGATCCGCCCTGCTAGCCCCCGGGGAAGGCCTCCCCGGCGGGGCGCGTTCGCTTCGGCGTTCGTCTGAACGAAACCATCCGCCCTCCCACTCAGCGTATGTCGCCGGAGCGAGAAAACACGGAGTCGCCTGCGGACCCTGGGGACCAGACCCTGTCGGGGCGTGGGGGTCCAGCGCGCGTGGCACCCTTCGACGACGGTCCAAGCGGTTCGGCGATCATGCAACTCAGAGCTGCAATTTCCACAGGGGCGACTGAATCTATCAATATCTTGGCGGCGAGCGAGGGGGGAAAATGGAAGGAGAAGGCCTTGTCAGAAGGCTCGGAACTCCCCCGGCCTTCCGGGAAGCTTTCTGAGCCTTCCCCGAATACATAGAAAACTTCCCAGAAGGCGCGAGGGCTTCTGAGAAGTTTCGCCGCCTTCTGAGAAGGCCTTCTCCTTCTCACTTCCCCCCCTCGCTCGCCGCCGAATCTCGTCCGTCTTCCGATTTCCAGGCTCCGAGGCTTGCCTGCCCGGCCTCTCTGGCGAGCCCAAAGGCGGCGCACGGCACTCCTCCGCGCCGAGCGGGGCGCAGCCACTGAAGCTGTGAGGTCCCCCTCTGAGCTGGTGGCAAAGGCGATTTTTGTTTCGTTATGTCTTTCTTTTTTTTTCACCGCCGTCTGCTTTCCGGCGAACCAAAACAGGAACAAAACGGCAACCCAAACCAGAAAACAAACGGCAATACAACACTCGGGGGCGGCCAAGAGGGGGGCGTCCAAGAGTGGGGGGCGCAAATCACGGCCGGCGGCATGTGCGCGGCTAAGGCGGGGGGTGGCGGGGATGGATTGACATAAGAAAGGCCGCCATGAAATCTGGGGAGATATCATGGCCCCCGCCATGATATCCACCCCTGCCTAGTCATCACCCCCCTCTTTGCCGCCCCCGATCGTCAGCGGCGAAGCAGAACTGCACCGGAACCGAACCACCCACGGCGTGAACGAGAATCCCCAAACGGAAAAACCAACACCCCCAGCGTCATCTGAGTGCGGGGCGCCTCTGCCGTCGCGTGCGCCGTTCGGCCACGCTTCCAGCCACGGAGGGGCACCCCTTGCACGAGTGTGGTGCTGGCCCCAGCGTCTGGTCTCCGAGGAGATGCACATGCTGGAGCTGGCCAGGACCTTCTGCAAGTGGTCCAGAGCACGGATGGAAAGCAAAGCGCGGCCAACTTGTGGCAAATGCCTCCTGCCTCCATGACTGTCACTACCAACACACCTTGAACTCTCCCAAACATCGCTCATACCCCGCGCCCCCTCCGCCGCTCCTCCGGGACCGTGACGTCGTACTCGCCCTGCTCTATGCCGTGCTCTTCGGCGTAGAAGTTCCGTGTGAACTCGTCGCCTCATGAAGGCTGGCGCGGGGGACCCACACTCCATCATGAGTGCACGCTGTAGGTGACCTGGGTCACCTGATTTCGCGCACCGTGCCCCGAGATGCGCGGCCACCATGGACAAGGACACTCTTCGTCCCAGGCCGCGACGCGCGAAGCGTGATCTGGTGCACTCCTCACGCCCTCTGTTCGGCAAATGGGCGATCGCTGAAGATTCCGGACTTTTCTCAAAATGCTCCTGTGTTTACAAGAATCGACCAAAAGGCCAGAGATCCGCTGGACTCCCTCGGAACGCAAGGCTGGGAAACGTGCTGTTGGACTACTGTCATGTCATTTGCGTGGCATGTTGTCTCTTGCCTTTTGTTTGTCTGGTCCTGCTCCCTCTCTACAATCGATTAGCGGGGCCGTGAGACCAACAACAAAAACCTGCGAGGGCGACCCAACATCCTGCAGATCTAGGTCCCTGGATTCCCGCAGGACGCCGACAGACGGGCAGTAGCGCCCAAGAGTCCTCCAGATCGGCCCCAAGAGGCGCTCACGAAGGCCTCGAAGAGTCCGTGGCAGACAAATGTAGCCCCGAGGTGCCGAGGTGCCTCTCAGATGGGTCCGGAAGACCTCAAGACGCCCCTTGGGGAGCTCGCGGGGACGAAGGATCACGATTCCAGAGGGTCGAAGGGAATACAGTGGAGGGAGGCCAGTCCAGAAGAAACCTTCCACAAGAAACCCAACCCTGAGACCCCATGGCGTCTATCGAGTTTCGGCGTGGGAACGTCGCGCTTTCCATCGCAAAACCATCGAAACCCAAGGCTCCTTGGAGGCAAGCAGGGTGTTTCCTGGCATGGGTCTCCACTGTAGACGCCCATCCTGCAAACGCACAAGAGATGGCGGCGTGACCCGGGTCAGCCGCGAAGCTCGCCGTGGAGCCCCTCGATGCACCATCAGCCTGGGAGGGGCCGTGGGGCTGTGCCGCCCCGTGGCACGACCGAGTCACTTCTGTCGCCCTCGGATGTGTGTGTGTGTGCCTTTCCCAGCACGGCCCGCTGCCTGGCAGCCTGCCTTGCCGGCTTACCCCCCCCCCCTGCCGCCGGCCCGCGGCTGCTGGTCCTACCCGCTGGCGCCGCCCCGCCGCCGCCCGGCCCCGCTCTGAGCGCGCCCGGCTTCCTTCTCCCTCCTGCCACCGCTGGGCGTTCCTCCTCTGCGGCTTAATTCGCATTCGTATACCATGCTCAAGTTTTTCCGCCAGCGCGGTCACTCTGCCTAGCCGCCGACGTAAAGTGTGTGTGTGTGTGTGTGTGTGTGCCGATGGCGCTAAGGACACAAGATTGGGGAAGGAGGTGATGGGAAGAAAGGTACCGATGCCGCTGCCCTTGCCTCGTTTTCGCCGTCATTTGGGCATCCTGGGCGGCCCTCTTCGCCACGGCTGGGTTCGCCATGAAGTTCGGGTCAGAACGTACCCTGGTAGAGGTCTGGGGAATAGCGGTATTGGTACCTCATTGCCCCCCCCCACGAAGCAGACGCAGAACCACTGGAGGAATGGATTAGCACTCCTCGAGTCTGAGCGTCACGCAATCGTAAATGAACAGCTCCCGCCCGTATATCATTACGGTGGTGCCCACCTGCAGCTCCTCGGCCTGGTAGGCGACCTGCTTCGGCGAGATCATGCCTTGCGGCGACGCGATGAGGCAGGGGAAGCGGAACAAGATGGGGACCCCACATCGGACTGGGGTTAGGTCGAGCATGCCCCCCTACAGGCGGATTTTGGAAGAAGAATCAAACATAGTCAACACATTGTCAAACATAGTCAAAATTAGTCTAACAGATCGTCCCACTGCTATTTATGACTGTTTTTGAATATTCTTCCTGTCGAGGGACAGGCCCGACTTAAGACTGGGTGCTCGGCGCCAGAAGAAATCTTCTGCACAATGAGCTGAGCAATGCCCAGTGCAGACCAGACAACACACCGACAGGAGCATCGTGCTGGGGGGGGGCTATGCGGCGGGAGCTGGCGAACCCTACGTCGAGAGGCAGATGGAGGGGCACGCAGAAAAGGACCTGTCGGGAAGGGGGCTCGCGCCAACCGCCAGCTCACCCTGGGCGGGTGCTAATGGGGGGTGGCCCAAATCGGGGGATGAAGAAAAGAGCCCTTCAGGGCCCCTTTTGGAGCCAGTTGGTGCCCTAAAGGGGCCCTAAAGTGCCCCTGGAGGGTCTTTTGTTTCACCCCACGAGTGGATCCCCCCCTTACCACGCGCCCGATCACTCACTGGGTGTCTAGACTGAAGCCCGGCTCCATGCAGAATGCATCGCCGATGCATCGGTGATGTATCGGTTATGCATCGGCAATGTACTGGCGAAGTCGGTGATGCGTCGGCGACGTCGGCGCGGAGAAAGTCGGGCTCAACATCGAGCCGCATTGTCGATGCATCGGCGATGCGGCGCGATCCTCCGATTTGACCCCATCCAGGAGACCTGGATAAACTGAGGGGGGAGCCTGGCTCCCTGCAGAAAGACCCCATGGCCTGAGATCTTGTGCGGGACCAACCATGCCCGCAAAATATCCGTCAAGCGGGGATTGCGCCCAAATCTCTCCTTACACCCGGCTGGTCTCCGCTCAGGTGCCCTGAAGGAAACAGGTACCTCAAGACCAGAGCCCTCACGACCAGATCCCCAAGACCAAAGCCCTCGAGACCAGATCCCTCAAGACCAGAACAGACCCTCAAAACCAGATCCCCAAAATCCTCAAGGGAGACCGGACACCGGGTCGTTCCCTCAAGACCAGACCCCCACCCTGAGGCGTTTTTCAGCAGTCCTGGTGCCCGCGGATGGCCCCAAGGCTTTGAGCATGTAGAGGAAACGCCAGGACCCCTGTCCTCCAACTGGTGGGTTCCCAAAAACCCTGAACCCAAAAACGTTGCCATCTCTTGGGGTGTACCTTTTACTTTCGCCGGCTTCCGTCGGAGGAATTCCCTCGTCTTGCTTCCGCGGTCTCTTCCGCCAGCGTTCGACGAGGAAGCAATGCCAACTCCTCGAGGGCAAGGACCTTTCTGGAGCGAGCCAACTCCCTAGACCCCCGACGTCAAGATTTTTGTTCATGACGTCGACCCCCAGAGGTCTCGACCCATTCCAAGGGACTGGTTTTTCATCCTCAGTCGTTTTGTGAAGGCCCCGAAGCCCAGTGAGGGTCCTCTGCCGTCGTGATTGTTTCATGACTCGAGGGGTTCTGGGTCTTGCGCGTGCCGTCCGCCCGACTTGAGCAGGGACCGACCGCCCCGGCATTCCCGTAGGCCTACCACGAAATTCTCTTAGAACCCGGAAATGTTCTGAGAGCAGCTCGTGCAGACCACAACAGAAAGAGAGGCTCTCAGAACATTCTTCGGGGGGCCTATCGGCGAGCCAGGGCGCCTCGCCACTCATGCTCGAGTCTTGCGCGTGCCGCCCGCCCGGCACCTCTCGCCGGATCGGCTCGGGCCAGGGCCAGCCGGCGCCGGCGGGGTGCGCGCCCCCCTCGGAGAGACCCCGGGTGCGCCTCCGTGCGCCGACGCTGCGGCGGCGCCTCCCCCGCGCAAGGGGCCTCTGGAAGGGCCCTGCGTGGGAGGGCGCGCCCGCGATGTGGCCTTCGTGTGGGGGTCGGTCCCCCCGCCGCGTGGTGACTGGAAGGCGAAGCCAGGACGAGGATGACATCGGGTGAGGTTACATCGAGGATCACTCAAATCCAGCGGCTCTCTTCTCAGAGCGTTCCGGCACGCTCTGAGAGCGTTCCTGAATGCTCTGGAACGGATTGATCCTCGTCCTAGCCCCGCCCGGGACAGACCGTGCGGAGACCTCGAAACCCAAGAGACCTCACCGCGCGGTCCGTGACTCCACGGCTTTGGGACCCTGGAGGCCCCGGTCGCCCGAGACGTCCTCGGAGAACGACCCGAGTTCCAAAACCGTGCGTTCACCCCACATCCCCACCGACTCGGTGGGGTCCGAGCAGATGGGGTTGGAAGATCGCGCCGTATCGCCGATGCATCGCCGATGCATCGCACTGGCGCGCTGGCGACGACGGCGTGGAGAAACTCGGTCTCCACGTCGAGCAGCATCGCCGATGCGCCGGCGATGCGGTGCGATCCCCCGACCCCTTCCACTCCAACCCCGTCTGGGAGACCCAGACCACCGCGCGGTGTGGTCGCCACACCGTTTGGAGGCCCCCCAACGGACGCCGCGCCGGGTCGACCCCGAGGGCCCCGGGGGCTTCGGCGGCGGGGGGGCGGGGCGCTCGCTGGCCCGGCATGGAGAGGCGAGGTGCTCGTCGAGGAGCCGGGAGCTTCGGGCGGCGAGGTGCTCGTCGAGGAGCCGGGAGCTTCGGGCGGCGAGGTCTGTGCGCATCCGCTGCTCCTGGCCAGGCCCACACTGGGCCCGGGAGCGGTGTGCGCGCCCTCCGGGCTTGGCCAGGGAGGCAAACGCACAGCTCCTGGGCCCAGGATTGGCCTGGCCAGGAGCAGTGCAGATGTCCAGGTCTCGTCGCCCTCGAGCCTGCGACGAAAGGAGTTGAAAACCATGTGGGGCCTGCTCTAGAACAGAATCGTTCCGTAGACGGATCCACCCTTTCTGCGACCTTGTCCTGCGCAGGGCGCAGCGGCCGTGTTGTCCACAGACGCATCCCCCCCGAATGCGTCTGTATAGCCTTCGGACGCAAGCATCGACCCTCCACCGTTATCTGTCGCACCAGCAATACGTCTCTAATTCGAAAAAGGGGCGGGGAATCGCCGAGCGATATCATTAGCACCAAAAATTCGCCGGCCCAACGGGCCAGAGGCGTGCTAAGATCTCCGGTAACTGGTTCACAATTCTTCTAGTTCGGGCGCGCGGGGCGGCCCCTGGGGGTCCCCCGGCGAAAAGTACCCCGACCGCAGCCCGGGAAGGTCCTGGGAAGGTCTACTCAGAGATGGTTTTCCTCCTGGGTACGGCCTCTCAGGCCCGCCAGAGCGCGCCAAGAGGGCCCCAAGAGGCCCCCAAAACTGCCCAAGAGGCCCCCGAGACGCCCAAAGGACGCTCCAAGACGCCGAAGATGATCCCAAGACGGCCCAAGAAGCCGCCAAAACGCTCCAAGTGGCCTCCAAGAGGCCTCACAAGAGCGCCCCGAGAGGCCAAAATCATCAACAATGGTTTTGGAAGGATTTTGGCCTTGTCGCATTTTCGGCTTTCCGATGCTCCAAGACGGCCCAAGAGACCCCAAAGAGCGCACGAAGACGGCTCAAGAGGCCCCCAAGAAGGCCCCCAGAGAGCCCAAACGGGCCCTGAGACGGCCCAAGAGACGCCCAAGACGGCCCAAGAGAGCCCCAAGACGGCCCCAAGAAGGGCCCAAGATGGTGACCACGAACAGAAACCTCTAGCCGTCCGCCCCAAGAGGGCCCCAGGAGGCCCCGAGAGGCCCCCAAGATGGCCCAAGATACCGCCAAGAGGCCCCCAAGAGACCCCACCAGGAGGCTCCAAGGAGGCTCAAAAGAGGCCCTACAAGGCTTCAAAAATGTCTCCCAGGCGCTCCCGAACGGCCTCTCAACAGACCCCAGGGCCTCCCAAAGACGCATCTGGACGACGGCCCTATTTGGCCCCAAGAGCGCCGCAAGATGCCATCGAGAGGCTTTCTCCTCCGCCCTTTTCTCTGCCTCCTCCTCCTCCTCATATTTATCTTCATCCTCCTCCGTTCCTTCTCATCCTCTTCTCCTCCTCCCCTCCCCCTCCCCATCCTCATCTTCCTCCTTCCGGCGGCGCCTAAATGGCCCCGAGCCCGCGCCGAAACAATAGCGATCATGCATTACGGGCCGGCGGAGTGAGCGAAGCGATTGAATAATTAATGAATTCCTGGGTGAGCGAATTCTTAGGAATCTTCGGAGCACTTTCCGGGACCCTGCAGGAATCCTTACAGATCCTTGTGGAGTCCTTCAGGAACTGGGAGGAATCCTCAGGGACCCTTCAGGAATCAGTCTGCGTTCCTCAAGAATCTTTACAAGCCAGCAGCAAGAATACTCAGGGGCCCTCACGAATCTGCCGGGACCGACAGAAATCCCCTACGATCTTTCAAACATCCACCAAGAGAAAGCCAAGAACCCAAGCACCCTCAAGAATCCTCAAGAACCCACTGGATCCCGAAGCATCTCTCAGGAATCCTTCGGAAATCCTGCAACGATCTCCAGGGAAGCCATCGGGAATCCGCATGGTCCCGCAGGAATCCTTCCGGGACCATTCTGGAATCCTCGGCGCAACGCGGCCGGCCGGGTCACGTTTCCTCCTCTTCCTCCCTGTTCTTTTCCTCCCTGGGCTACGATCTGCCTTTTCACTTGACTCACTCCCGGGATAATTGCGGAGGATGAGGAGGAGGAGGAGGAGGAGGAGGAGGAGGAGGAGGAAAAGGGGCGCATAGGAGGAGGAAGAGGAGGAGGTGGAGGGCGCCTTTGCGCTGCGACTGGGGAGAATATCGCTCTCAATATCGCCATCCAATCCCTCGTTCACTACCCGCAAACAAATGCGATTTACATACGCGCCCTGCCTTAACACGGCGCTCACAACAACACGCACGGACTCGAAAACGCGCTGGGTTGTACCCTTTCCCTTGCGTTCCCGACAACTTCTGAAGACAGGGATCTTGCCGGCTTTCTGAGCCAATTATCCAACTACTCCTGGGCG